GAAATTAAGGAAAGTTTATGAGGGAATTTTGAAGAGAACTTAAAAAAAATTGAGAGTAACCTGTAGGGAACTTAGTGGAGTATTGCTGGAAACATGAAGAGGAACTTTGGAAAAGGAAATTGAATGAAACAGTAAATTTATGGAAAGTTTGATACGAGCTTGAAGGAAACTGGAGAACTAGATAATTCGGGGCGTAGGGAATTTAGGAGTATTTGAGGGTCTCACACCAACCTTTTTAAGAGACGGTTAAGAAGTAATTAGGCGCTGAGATACTGAGAGGTAATTGAGGGGAATTAAAGAGAACTTGAGGGAAACATCAGAATAATCTGAAAATAACTTGGACATATATTTTAGAGAAGATTGAGATGAACTTGAGAGACACTTAAGAAACAACTGAAAGATTGCGAGGGATTGAGATAAACTTGAGGGGACTAGAAGAATCTTAATTTTATTTGAAAATTTGGAAACTTCAATTTCAATGTTCTTAAAAAGACGATGAATCCCAATTATAATTGAAGAATCCATAAGAAACGGTTTGCAGGATCAGACTTATGGAGCGGATCAAGGGGAAACATTCTAAATTTAAATCTTGATCGGTTTTGAGCTACAGCATTTTTATTTGGCGCCCAACGTGGGGCACACTGTAATATGTATAGTAACTGAAATAATGTAATCATTTTATTTGACTTTTCCCGAACTATTTAATGCTTCATAACGATTGTTTTATTACAAGGGCTATAATTTTTGTGGTACGTCAAATATTTTTGATTCTTGGTTTGTTCAATTTACGGGATCCACAAGCCGCCCTTTAAGTGCATATTAAAGTGAACCCTTTCCCTATTTCAAAAATCTTATTTTTTAAGATTGTTATGTATTTTTGGGCATTTACACAAAAGTTATAGCGAAAATGTGGCAATTTGTTATTCGCTTAGACAACCACTTGAAAAATGTGTGTGCAAAAATTTAAAAACGATATTATGAACTTATAATCACTAACAAAAAATTGTTAATAGACAAATAATATATTGTGAGAGAACGAGATAGTAGAAACAAAGAGATACGTTGCGCTCCATGATTGTTATATAACGGTACAGTATATATTTAAGGAATATATGCATAAAATTTCTGTTTTTACGCGAGAATAATATACGGATTTAAAGGCAATAAACATGTGTACGTATACATGATAACATGGTCTTGTCCATGGCCATTGTGTTCTAGCATTCAGAACAAAACACGTTTGCCGCATTTCTCACATTAAAACCGCATGGTAATTTTTATCTTTATTGAGAGTAGAATATTGTTTAATTTACAAATCTAAAAAATTTGAGACAATGTACACAAACTTCTCATGTTTGAATCTTACGAAAAAAGAATTAAAATTATTTATTTTTTTGCAATTCTTGTTCTATAATAGCTTCAGCAAGAATTCTGCTACATAGTAGGTACCCAAAATGTATGTTAGTTAAAACGTAAACTATTTATAGACGTAAAAAATTAGGCGATTTATGGAACTATGACAAATATCAGCCGAAACCTAAGGAAAAGGTCCACTTCAATTACGGAAAATGCAAATAGTGATACTTAAGAATAACATGCAAAAACGCAATTATATCCTCCCTATTGAAGTTTTTAGGCGAATTCATTCCCTAATTATTCCAGAATCCCCAGTTTAATGAATCCAATAAAGAAAGTGAAAATCGAAACGAACTGCGCGCTAAAAGCACGAGACATAGACATGTGGACGGTGGAGGAGGTCGAGACCCTTAGCGACCACAGGTATATCTCCTGAGAAATACGCGGCAAAATTGACAACTGGGGCACGGAACGGAAGCGACAGAATGGCGAGCCGGAAGTCAGGGGCTGGTTGGCCAACAAATTGGATCAGCAGAAACTGAGCCACATCTTGGACCACATTGAAGCTCCTAAGTCACCGGCGGCCCTGCACCGGGTTATGCAGCGCATAGCGAAATATACAATGCCCAAGAAAAATAATAAAAAAGGAAGGCGAGCTACGTTCTGGTGGGACGAGGAGGTGGTAGCAGTTAGAAAGGAATGCGTAACCCTAAGGCGGAAGGTGACGAGAACGGGTAGAAGGGCTAACATGGGTATATAGAAAATGAATGCAAATACAAGGACTCGAAAAATAAACTAAAAAAAAAATGATAAAAAAAAAGAAAAAAGAATGTTGGAGAAATATGTGTGCCGACCTTGAACGAGATGTATGGGGAAGGGCGTATAAAATCGTTGTTGGCAAGATCGGGGGAAGACGAAAAGTAATCGGGTCCGATGAGGAGTTAATGGAGAAAGTTGACAGGCTGTTCCCGATGCAAACAAGATGCCCGGTCGGTAGGGACTGGCGAAGGGAGGCAGGAAAAGAGACAATAATCAAAATTAGCACAGAAGAGATACGGCATGCAGTCAGGAGGATGCCCGAAAATAAAGCTCCCGGACCAGAGGGGCTTCCTCCGGAGCTAGTGACCAGAGTGGCCGGGGAGAGGCCAGAGTGGTTTACGAGGGCTTTCGACGAAGTGCTAAGTTCGGGAGTATAAATCTCTAATAAGCCATCTGGGGAAATTGCTAGAGAGGGTGCTGGTAGAAAGGATCCAACAGTTTGCCAGTCTTTCGGACGGACAGTATGGTTTCATGAAAGGGATCCGAGAGCCGCTCAGTCAAATACATAAAATAGCTGAAACGGCAATGCGTGGCACACGACTAACTAGGGAGGTGACAATAATCACCTCCTTAGATGTTCAAAATGCTTTTAATTCTATCCCAATGGGGGTCATATTAGAAGAACTAGAAAGAAAGGGCGCACCGGGGTATACAAGGAGGGTAGTGCACAGCTACTTAAGCAACAGGAGGAATCGGGTTAAACTGCCCTACGGGAAGGGGTACCAGTTTGAGGTGAACGGAGGGGTGCCATATAAGGGTCGGTGCTGGGCCCAGTCCTGTGGAATATTGCCTATGATGGGGTCATCTGACTCGGGGTGGCTATGGTGGCGTACGCCGACGACCTGAGCGTGGTGGTGACAGACCACAAGATCGAGTGAGCGGCAGAAAATGCGCAAAGCTCCATAAGGTGCAAGTGTGGATGGAGCAGGTTGATGGCGAATACGGGGGGACCGAATGAGTGGAAGAGAAGGGTGCTAGCCTCGGCGGTCGATAACGTGATACTATATGGATGCGACGTGTGGGGAAGAGTAATGAAAACAAAAAAGGCCAAGGACGTGGAGGATAAAGTCCAGAGGAAAATGGCTTCGGCGTATAAATAATAAAGACGAACTAAATGCATGGGAAGAAGAGTGGGAGGAACGAGAGTCGTGGACGAAGGGACTGATAGACAACCTAAAAAGCTGGGTAGGAAAAAGGAATGGAGAAGTTAACTATTTCCTCACACAGTTTCTGACCGGGCATGGGGAGAATGGGGTTTACCTGAAATGGATAAGAAAAAGAGAGAGGGATACCTGCGTAGACTGTGGTGAGCTGGACGATGCAGGACACGGAGTGCTAAAATGCCCTAGGTGGGAACGTGAAAGATATCGGGTCGCTATCAGAGGGGAAATGATAGAGAAGGAAAGCATAGTGAAGATAATGTTGGAAGGCGAAGAAAAATGGAAAAAAAATTGCCCACCTGATTGAAAAGATAATAGGCACGCGAGAAAAGGGCGCGAGGTAATAAAAGGGATTAGGGAAAAACCCCTCTGGAAGAATGCCCTAGCGATACCCAGATGTGGAGTAAGGGAGAAGGGGTTTAGTGGGTGAGAGCCCCACACTACCGCCGTCCGACAGTTCCAAGGCGGCGGTGTGCGGTAGGAACATTCCCTAATTCCCTGTCAACAAAAAAAGGACTAACGCTCAATGCATTTTGAGGTTTTTTGGGTCCCCTAGAGAAATGAATAATTTGTAATGGTAATTTGGAAGTGTCTCATTTCTCGGTTTCCCTTCAGCTCATCTTACCCAGAATCCTTCGCAAATTTCAACAAGAATGCATAAATAATTGCACAAGGTTAATAATTAAACATTCGTAAATTGGCGTATCCTTGGCCGGCGCCGGAGGGGTAGGATTCGATAGGAATCCGAGTTATTTCTCATAGCAATTGTAATAGGCGATTGTTGCAATTAGTTTTGGTATGCATTGACGCTCTTCTAATTACCGCTTTAATTAAAATCTTGTTAATCACAGTAAATTATGCGCTTAGACTTCTCCGTAGATTTTAATTCAATACAAGGTGAACTGTACAGTGTACACGCATACCTACAATTATGCAACGATTTTATATAACAATAATTATTGCGCTTCCAAATCATTCTCGGAAGATTTCAGCAATTGGGCAGACAAATTATTTAGGTTAATGTGATGGTGCAATATTGCCATTGAGAGCATCGTTACCTTTACTTGTAATTACAATAGTCAATGACTTTGTTAATTTCTAATTTGACGAAGAAGAAACAGCTTGCACTCTTACGATAATAATTACCAATAAGTAGTGCAGTGTGACGAAACGAGCCCGTCAAATTCAATTAGGTCCTTATTTATTGTACCGATTTACCGTCTAATTGCATGGCTTGTGTGACTGGGCATGTGGGTTTATAATTTGCTATCGTAAATCATCCCAAATGTATTTGGCCCAAATTGAGGAAGAGTTATGGTCAATACTTCAGTTTAGCATTTTCGAAGCACCAAGAAGAAAAGAGGGGGCTAATTACTTAATTTGCATGACTGAGTTGGCGTGAGTTGATTTTACTAATCGGCCATAATCAAACCAAACACGTTGAAGCTGGCGAATGAGCTCAGTTTCAAGGATAAACCAAAAATTATGATCAATCAAAACAGACGGAGGGCAGAACTGGTTTGGGGCCGCGGAAAAAAATTTGCAAAATCGCCTTGGGGGGGTTGCATTACCACACAATTTTTTTCGGTATTTCATTACCGAAAACGACAACCTGCACCTGTAAAACGCATGAAATTCCAAGCGTAGTTCTGAATGCAAACTAACCTGTCAGTTTGATGTAGGTCAATGAGGCGGCTACTCCGGATTTCCACCTCGGTAGCGTAATAAAAAGCCGATCTCCATGCACTTCCAGTCCCAAAGGTAGATTGTTTTCGGGCACGAAATCCCGATTATCGATCGCCTCCTGTCTTGCCTCACTGGAGGGGTACTCGAAATCGACCTGCTTCCACTCGAACGCGACGCGCAGATTGTCCATAGCAAAAGTCGACGATAAAATCGCCAATAAATACGATAGCACACGCATAGTTGGGCGACCGCGGTGGAATTAAAAGTAAATCTCTACTATCAACTCTTTTTTTTATAGTCTTGCTTACATCACACACGCGTCTTGTGGTCGGATCAGTTTTTTATTGCGTAATTACGATTTAACCGGAATACGTCCAGGAAGTCCAAGCAGGTGTAGACGTCCGCCACCGCGACACTAATAACACTATAAACTATGAGTACCTATTTCGATGAGCCACAGGTACTACATTTGGGTATCATTTCAGCTCACCTGTGGCCGCCGCCGCCGCTACCGTCTAGCTAACTAGTGAAAGTAATGTTAATACAGCACAAGAAGACCTTTACAACACTAACGACTTCGTCGGATACTCTGGTTTATACCGCGTGGAGTCGAAAGTGCGACCGGCCTCGTCGCGTACGTCATCGCGCCCGAAAAAAAAGCGAATCTCTCGCGGACGGAAGGTGTTAATTTTTCCCGCAATTAGACGCACCGCTAGTTAGTCACAGAAACGCCAAAGTACAAAGTGATCTTCTTATCGAGCCGTTTTTAAACATTACTATCGTGACGCACGCATTCCGATAATTTCCTGTTATTATTTTTATTACTGCTAAAGTGCAGGCCAAGTAGTGATGATACTTAGGATCGGAGCAGTGAAAAGATCCAGTGAAAGTAAATGCAGAATCTGCACGTCCTCAATAGATGAAGAATTCGCTGCTCTATGGTGATGTACCTACGTGTTACTACCTTCGATAATTAGTGCAAACCGTAGGTGCTAATTACATGCTAAACGCATGCTAATTGTGATAATTGGTGGTCCTATGACTCTTGGAATCTGTCAACAATTAATTTTTGGCTACTGTTAAATCTCCCACTGACACACTATCCGTGAATCCCAAGATGTATACGATTAATCGAAACAACAGACCACTTTTATATGTGTCTAATGCTTAAAACTACTCAACGCTCCTACAATCTGAATCTAATAAATTGAGTTTGAGATTGAGTGCATCCTCACGAAGACAAGTCTCCTGGATTCAGAATACCGTACCGGCGATAGCTATGTCTTCATTAATCCCGGCGTCAAGTTGCTTTAAGTTGTTCTCTCATCCGATTATAAACAAACACCCCCGAATTCCCATATCTTTGTGTCCAAGCGAGTGCAACTGAAGAATCAGTCGAGAAGTGATTGGGGATGTCTTAATCCAAGGGTTTCCTTCCCAAGTCGAACTTGCCTCGTTCCAATTACACATCCCGTCAACTGCAACCTTATTGGAACTTTTCATTTGTAACGGGGGTAATCTTGCTCTCGAAAGTAACAGAAGAACACAGCAACATGCGGTTGCCATCTTGAAAGGCCTCAGGAAAAACATGAAGTTGAAGGCTAGACGCGTTCTCTATTTGAAAATGACGTGGTACGAATACTTCAGGTAGGGACGATTTTGTCGGGATTGTGACTGGATACAAGTATCCCATCGGATCGAACACTCCTGCGACTGAGGAGAGAATACGTCTCTTCGTAACATCTTTCTCAAACTTCGTATCCTTGATTACGCATTGTAAAGTGTCGTTTGCTCCATTCATTTCAAGCCGCAAACTGATATTTCTGGAAAAGAATCACCATTGCCATTTGCATTGGAACCTGTTTCTGAAGATGACATCCATCCCCTATTTTAGCATTTCCAATAATTAAACTTGACTTTTTCGTACATCTCTCATATTCTTCATGCGATGAAACGAAAGTGAGAACATTATACACATAAAAACAATTTCTCATCTTCTGCGCAAAAGGGCCCGGACGTGAATCCAAATAATTGATTGTCTCGCCAAGCAGGTATGGAGTACAATATTGAGACCGAATAGATTGTACCGGTAGAAGAGAAACCAAAGAAACTTCTGGAATGGCTTGTCTTCTTCACGTACACTTGGAATGCCTTCGAAATATCTTACGATACCTACTCCCAGGTGTTTTCTTAAAATCACAGCATGATGGAAGGGAGAGACAAGTAAGGACCCGAGCCGGACCAAAAAATAAATCGAAAACCGGACCGAAACCGATATTTTTTTCAGAACCGAAAACCAAACCGAAACGGTTATTCCTTCACGAATGGAAACTTATTGAGAACCGGAACCCGTATTATTTTTTTCGGTTCTTCTCGGTTTTTAACAGGTTATTGGAAGTTGAAGGACGCACCGGCAAACGTCCTGCAAATTGATAAAGTATTACCATTGAATAAAGCACTTTAAAGAAGTACAACTACATAGGAAAACCTGAAATTGGTGTAAGGTGTGTGGTATACACTGCAAAGTGGTTAATTACCACAAATATTGAAGGATATTTGCCCTCGGGCGGTAAATAATGACTATTTTAAACAGGGAAACCAGTTATACTTGTTTTCCTTGTTTATCAGAGTTGAACAGTGTTGTCATATTTACCAAATCCTTATATGGAGCTAGGTAAAGTTTGATTGTTTACTATGTAAAGATAATGGTCCTTAGAACAGTTCTTGTTGTTTTCTTATTAGATTAAACTACATTTTTTACTTTATTTATTGTTCCTTATGATCTTACATTTCAGATTGATCCTCCCTTACATAATATTGTTATTGGCATTGAATAAAAAGCTTATTCAATATTTTAATCTAGTTTATTCAAACTCAAAGCGCTTGCCAAAAATCTGGCAACGTTGGAATTTTAAAGAAGTAAAGAAATCTGCAAAGTCGGTAACTAGCTTTAAATTTGTGGTTCACTTTCCCCCACAACAGAGGGACGACAGAATCCTGGGCAGATTTTCTTATTTCATCAGTTAACACGGGCGTTATACTTCTTTAAGGTGCTTATTCAATGGTATTACCATTGAATGATAGTTATAAATTCAATGGTATTACTCTATAATTGGCATCGGTGGATTATAAATTTTTAATAAGGTGTCGAAATTGAAGGCAGTACCGATAACGGTGGCGGTAATTTAGACACTACTGATAATGTAAATAATAATAGAAGGGGCGATGTTTTAGAAAATAAAAATGAAAAACAATACTCCATATATAATTGTTTTGTGTATTTTTTCTCTTTTTGATTAATAAATTAAGTTTAAATGCATATTTCCCTCTTCTTCCTTTATTTACCATGTCGTTGTAAATAAGCTACACTGACGATACGTCAAGTTTTGGTAGTCATGACTTTTTACTTCTTTTTCACACCTCAATCATGTTGTTATAATCAATTTTTTGAATGCCATACTTTCAAAAAAACTAGAACCGAAAAAAAACCGTACCGGAACCGTTATAAATATTTTCGCTTAAATATAAAAAGAACCGAAACCGATATTTAATTTTGATCTTGGTCCCTGGCGGTAAGATGTGCTAAATTATATATTTTTTTTCATTATTTGCAATTTAGATCTAGAATTGTGGATAATTTTTCTCAAAATAAATGAACAAAAATAAGTGTAGGTTTATTTTTTCCAGTGGGACATTCCTCCCCGCTGTGGTTCTTGATGTATTTTGTTTCAAAATATACAGGGTGTTACATGACCGCATGTAAAAAAGATTGGGTGATAGAGGGGATCAGGACGAGTACTTTTTCCAAATAAACCAAGGGTCCAACGTGCTTCGTTTGAGAGCCACCCCCCAAAGCAGTGGTGAAATTTGGATTTCTTCTTTAATTTTTTTCTCAGCAACCATATGAGTTACAAAGATGGATGGCACGTCTTTGAATAGATTTTCTGGTATTCCCTATCCGATTTTGAAATTTTTTTAAATTCCTACCACGAAAGGGCGCACCCCTACTTGGGGGTGCGAAAAAGAATTTTGATTTCTACGAAATTTGGTATCTAGGGGTTTTTAAACATGAAAATGACGAATCTGGAATTAGTTAATTGAAAATGTCGCAAATAACAAAAAAATAACGATTATTTTGATCTCTTCTATCACCCAATTTTTATCGCATTTTTTAAGAATTAAAAAAAATGAGCTATTGTTTGCGTTTTGTCCGTCCGCCCGTCCGTCCGTCCGGGCCCACTTCTACCGTTTTGAACTACTTCTAGGGGAATGGTCCTAGAGTCCTGGAATTTATTGCAGTAGGTAGCCTATACCTTGAAGGTGTGCCAGACGGCCATCAAGTTTCGCTGTCTAAAAGGCCCCCCCCCCCACGAATTATTTCCTGAGAGAATAAAACCAAATTTAACGCCAGTTTCAAAATTTCGTTTTGCGCAGACGCAGTGCCAACTTTCTTATTTATGGAAGAAATTTCGTAGGGGTGCGCTTTACCTGCACAAGGGTTGTACACAATTTGTACTTGTTTTTACATGGGGTCATGTAGAACCCTGTATACAAATAAATAACCCTATAAAAGCGGTCACTTAGTGCGCAATTTAACTATTATAACCATTAGTTACGGGGGCGCTATCGACATAGCCCGGGGCCTGGCAGAGGCATCTCTAAAAAGCACTCTGTAATTGGACGGAAGCCTGTTGAGGGCTCAGAGCAAGTGAGGGATAATAAATAAATTAATTAATTAATTAAACATTAAACATTTTGTTATTGGAATTTCATTGTAGCCGATTCCATTCTCTTGCCTATTGGGTCCTTTATGCCGATGGTCTCCAGATTCCATAAGTCAATCAATGAAAGGATTATGGTAGCTGTAGATGCAATCGTCCTCCCAGGGTCCATCCAATGATAGACTCCGTCCATATTCTAACTTGACCACCTTTCCAGTTATGACATGACCCCAATAATTTTTTCCTAAGAAAATCTGGATATCCGAAGAGTATTTTTCGACGTCTGAGAGCATTATGCGACCTTGTCGTACAGTGGCGACAGTTTTCCTCCCAAGAGTATATTTGCGAGAACTACAAGTTTGACAGCATTTTCTTGTTGCGCTGTTCCAGTGGTTATATAACCGTGTTGACCTCCGGCGTCTCCAAATGTCCGAACAGAGACTGCTTTCCCGGTTTTATCAACGATATTAACTTTCAAAGTACTCCCCTACTATGAAATCTACTTCCTTGGATGACTTCCACTTATTAATTGCACATAATTTGGTAATGACTTCGCATCGTACTTTCTTCTTGCATTTCCTGAAGGGGTGACTAATTTTCAAGCACTTAAAGCAAGTATTTTTCTCAATCACTACTTTCTGCTTATCTTCATAGATCATTTCTTTCGCTTTTTAACATTGCCACAAAAGAATGCATACATGCTTCCCTACTTCATTTGATAACAATCCGAAAACTGTGGGACCATTATATTCTTGTATATTGCTTTTATTATCTTCCCCGCCGTTCCATTTTGATTGTTATGGTGTATGTAGTTGCCCGAAACCCTTCTCGTGCAAGGGAAATCCGCATTTCATTTTTTACATCTTGCCGCACGAATCTCTCAAAAAATCAGACATAGATTTCTGAGGCATCAATTGAGATCCATCTCAACAGACGAACGGACGGACGGACGGACAAAGTGGCCACAATAGCGCATTTTTTTGTGGAAATGCGCTAAAAACAGAAAATTTTATTTTCTAAAACCTCGCCCCTCCTTTTTAGCGCATTTCCACAAAAATTTAAAAAAAAATTCGCTATTGTGCCCACTTCGTCCGTCCGCCCGTCCGCTCGTTTGTTGAGACGCTACTAGTTCTTTATCTTAAGAGCTATTGTTCTACTTTTTTCGCTATTTGGTTCGATATGGTGTCGAGGCTTTCACCAAGGAAGGAATTTTTTCTGCGTTTGTTGCTAAAAAAGTTATTGTAAAAAAACCAACAAACCGTTTTTTACATGATAATTTTACACTTTCGCCGTTTATTAACGATCCTAGAAATCGTTTATAATTTTGTATTGCTGTCTGTCGTCCGTCTGTTGGTCTGTCCGTCTGTTCCTTTGTCTGTCTGTCCCTCTATCTGTCCGTGTAAACGATAACTTTGACATCTCCGTTAGTTCTGAATTGAATTGCATGAAATTCAATATGGGCATAGCTTTAGCCAACAATACGCAATGCCAAAAGTTGAGTCGAATCGATTCAAAATTCACAGTGCCCTTTCCGCATCTCGACCATTTACAAACCGAATTGCAAACTTTTTTATTTATAAAAGTATTTGAATGAAATTTGATACATAGGTGCTTGGAGTAAAGGAAAATCTAACGCCAGTTTCAAAGTACATACATCGGACATTTGCGACATACTTTTCCGGATATACAAAATCCCACGTGGAATGTGCATGTTATATGCAATGTATATAAGTCTGCTATGTGGGTAAAAACCACTCCATGGGGATTTGCAGGTCACTCACTTAACTTCGCTGACAGTTTCGCACTATATGCCGTTATCGGTTTCACGTTACAAAGCATTTGCACACAGCAAGGAATCAGATGAATTCTAAGCAATCAAAGGAATTTAAAGAATTGTAGAATTCGACCAAGAACTAAAAAAATTAAAGGGTTTGATAGATCAGAGGTTCCAAGAAAAAATGGAATAGTTCAGAAGAATTGGAAAAAATATGGCATGAAGTACCTACTGCAAATTTTTGTCTTCGGACTTAAATCATCTGGCGATAAGAATTTGAACAATATCCCTAAATCCCTTATCCAATCCTCCAAAAAGGGGTGTTACGAAATAATGTTTACGTCAGATAACTTAAAATAGTAATAAATAGCTTGCGAAGTGCCAAAATTAGCACGCTCGTGGATAAGATATCTCGCAGCTGCTTTTTATTGTTATAAATAAAGATTACTGACAATCATTAAAGACAAAAAAATAATACGAAAACACTTCCAGATTAAATCGATTGCGACAAAGGCACCTGACGATAGTCAATTGAGATTTTTCCGACGCCTAATGATTCTTTTCCCAAATAAAATAACAATGTCCAGTATCTCGCATTGCTTACCGTTGTAGTTAACGGCATTCTATCTCTGTTACCTAGGGACAGAACAAGAAAAACGTGGGGATGAAGTGCACTTTTTGTGCCAAAATAAGAATGGCGTATCTCTATGATAGTGGGTATCATATCTTATCAGGCTTTAATTAAACACAAGCTAAAGGGACAATATCATAAACCTACTTTTATTACGTGACGCGACAGTTCAAAGGAAAAGGTTGCTATTGTCATAACTCCTATCGCCCACCAAAATATCAAAATGGAGGTCGAAAAGAGAAAACTTTACTTGGAGTTACCTGGTGAGTAGTACCTTAACCATTGCAATAATAATTGGTCTTCCTCTCTAGAGAACGTAAGCGCGACATCTCACAGTGCAAGTCCCGTAAACGAGTTGCCGACAGAAATCAAAGACATTTACGATTCTATATATGGCAACGTGCAAAGTAAGCTGGAATACTACGAGAGCAGAAGCAGAAGCAACAGCAGAAGTAGTTCCAAATCAAGCACCCCCACCTCGGACAATAGGCCGATCTTCCACTACTCTAAGAGCCACCAGGAGGAATTAAAGAAAAACGAAGTCACTCCTCCCACAACACCACTCAGGCAACTATCCTCCGAAAGCGCACCAACCCTAGACCTTCTCAAGGATTGCAGCATGCCATGTTCGAAATGCGAAAAGACTAAATTCGTTAAAGACCGAACGGAAATACTATCGGAAATCAACACGAATTTCAAACTGGAACTCGCGAACGTCAAAAAACACCTCAAGACCGAAATCGAAAAAAACAACGCGCTCAATTTTGAAATCGCGAACATCGAGCACGCCCTGGAAACGTACTACGAGGAGGCGAAGTACCAGAAGAACACCATCTCGGTCCTCTACACTTCGCTGAAAAACTTCACGAGACACGAGGGAACGTACACCTACAAGCGAATCAAAGCCATCTCCGACTACGTGGAGACACTCAAGGCGAAACTACAGCACCAGGATAGAATAATTCGCGACAACTTCGTCGAGAATCCCTACACGACCGACATGATGATGAAGTACGAGTCGCTGGTGCAGCAAATCGACGTGCTCAGCATCGAAAATCAGGAGCTGAAGAACGACATCAGGAGGAAGGCCGATGAGGAGGTCGAGATTATTAAGGAGCTCAACAGGCAAAAGTTTAAGGTGGAGGAGAGGTGCAAGGAGCTCGAGAGCTTTCATAAGAGGGAGATGCTGGGAAAGGACGCGTTCATCGCCGCGCTGAGGGAGGAGCACGAGGCGAAGGACGGTGAGGTGGAGACGGCGCTGGAGCGGAAGGTCGAGGAGATGGCGGCCATGAAGAAAACGTACGAGGCCAAGATTGCCAATTATAAGGACGAAATCGCGATCGTTTATCGCAGGTGGAGGAACGACGTGAGTGAGAGAGGTGGAAGTGACTCATTTAATACGATTTAATTTTTTCAAGCGGATCGAAATACACTTTTTTATTGCGATAAGCATTAAGAGTATGTTCCGTAACTACCTTGGTTACAACCAAGATTATGGTTGCGCGTTCCATATCGATAAACAACCTGAAAATTTCAGTTATTTGCCAACTTCACACTGCTGAAACTGGTAACCAAAACGTCAACCAAACGACCGCCTTTTTTAGCGCGGTTTGTTATGGTTGTAATGTCAAACCAGGTTGCATTCCGTTACTTACCAGTTTTTCAGAAAACAGCTGATCAGTTTTGTCAACCACTGTCAACCACAACCAACCTTTTGGTTAAGTTAGGGAACATACTCTAAATTATGTAGTCATTCACTTCAAAAGTGATTCATAATGAACGACATTGATTTAACTCGGTGAGGTGCTCAAGGTACAATTTTAGATAAGCAATACGTGTCGTAAATTGGTATCAATTAAGCTTGCTTTGCTACTCTATACCTACAGAGCATATCCAAGTGTATATGCTACTAATTAGCGTAAAGGGTGGCCAAATAAGCAAGCAAGGTACTGTATCTGGGAAACTACTCGTTATAGAGGTGTGAATTTTTATAGATAAAGTAAACTCTATTTGCTAAACAATTCTTCCAGGAAAGTGATGGTTTCTTTATTTCTCCTTTATGCCTCTTCGAATTATAATTAAAAAAATATGTTATTCGCATTCTTCTAGGTTTTGCACTACTTGTAGGTGTGAATCCCCCTCCTCCCCCTCCACATGAACTATTTCCCGAGATCTTGCTTCCGAAAGTAAATCGTACCTAACGTTTACATGAGACGACTAATGGATAGAGGGCCTGAGTAAGCCTTAAAGAGGAAGAGGAAGGAGGATAGAAGATAATGTAAACGAAGGGAAAAAAGGACACGAGTAAAAAATCTGAACGTCATGTCAAGGAAAGGTAGTAGAATGCCAAGGAGGCATAAACAAGTGGTGAAGAAAGCGAAAAGACGCGTGGTGGGAGAGCGAGAGCCGAGAGCCATTGGAATTGACAAAAACGCGTAAAAGCCGTGATAAAGATGTAATGAGTGTAGAAAGCACCAAGAAAACGCGGAGAGGGTGTAAAGAATGTGTCAAAGCACCGTAGTGGGAGCGTTAACGAGATATAAAGTATACTTGAAATCACGAATCTTTGTCCCTGCGTCATTGATTTGTGAATCAATTTCAGACAAGTTTTTTATCGATTTCGCATACTTGACAGATATTACAGTGTTTTAGCGTATGTCTGAAATTGATTCACAAATCAATGACGCAGGGACAAAGATTCGTGATTTCAAGTTTAGATAATATGAAGCATTGGCCAATAAGTACTAAAGAAAATATGAAGAACGAGGCCGTGGGTGTGACGTGAAAAGAGGGAAGATCTAAATGTCATCACTTATTGGGTAATAAAAGCACCTTAGTAGCACATATTAACTACAACTGTGTTATAGTAGTGATTGTAAGTTGGTGGGTATGTCGCGAATAGACTTACTTGAAAAGCTTCAATTTATTTACTTGGGGTAGGCCATACAATGTACTCCACATAGTCCACATAGTTATTAGTCCAGTAAGAATAGATCAAAAAATGGCAAATAGGGGAACTAAATCATGTATTACTAATTCCTTCGGAAATGTGTAGCAGAAGGTTCTCTGATCAACATATAATAAAGTCCCCCCGAGTACCGGGTGTGCTAGAGGAGTGAGGGGGGAGACCGTGGTTTTGATGGTCACATTTTATAGTTTTTTACTTACAATTCGAAAACGGTGTGTTCTAGAAAAAATTCTTTACATATAAATACAAGCTCATTAAATTTGCTACAACTTTGATTCTATACACTTTCTTAAAAAACCCACCGTTTTTAAGTTTTTGACCCACCAAAATTGAATATGTGGATTATACACATGACCGTACTAGCCAACTCGATCCGCATAGCCGGATTTACCCTCCACAGCGGTGGGGTTAGATGGGAGGAGAGGATCGAATGCTGATGGGGTATCAAGACTAGCGACCCGCCAGCACCGGCCAATGTAAGTTCCATCTTCTGTCGCTGAACTATTAGAACTGGATGCGGCCCGAGGTGTAGGTGTCGTAAGACGAGCATCAACTGCACTTCAGCTTGTGGATGTGAAAGTGCGTACTTTAACGGCCCACCGGTCCTCGAGGACGGCGATGAAGAAAACACGCGAAAAATTAGTCTTAGGTACTGTTAATATCTGATGTTACACATTGTATATAGCACGATCCACCTTCGAATTACTACTTCTCCTTTATGCAGTTACGATGAGGTTTCCTGGAGGGAAAAAACAAAAGGAAATCATGATGTAGGTATTGGTCATATACTACATTGATATGTATAATCCACATATATGAAAATATTCAACCTTGGATAGTCAATAACATAAAAACGATGCGTTTTTTCATAATTATGTATCTACTCAAAGTTATAGAAAATTTAATAAGCTTTCATTTTTATGTACAAAATTTTTTGCTATAGCGTACCTTTTCTACGGTGTAAGCAAAAAACTATAAAATGGGACCTTCAGAGCCACTCTCGCTCCCCTCCCCCCTTTAGCACAGCCGGTAGTCGGGGGGACTTTACTTTACGTTGATTAGGGAAACGTCCCTTACACAATTCCGAAGAAACTGGTAATACATGAATTAGTTCCTATATTTTTCCTATTCTGACTGGGCTATATTTGGGAAAAGAATAATTAGGCGGCGGAAAGAGCTCAAAAGACTATTTTTTAGCGCATTTTCCAACTCAGATGTGCGCATGCGCAAACTACGCAATGTCAACTTGTTTATTTATGGAAATATTTCTTTGCAATTGTGCCACAGACGTTTCTAGTAAAGACAAGCATATCGCACACTGTAAATATGAGACGTGCGCTCTGCGCAATGTTAACTTTCTGATTTATGGATATATTTTTGAATCACGGATTCTGATCAATTCATGGAAAATGCGCTAAAGTTGCACGACTTAAGGCGACAACCTTTTTACATTTTTTGTTAATGATTGATGATAATCTTTATTTACAACAATAAAAGGCAACCTCGAGATACCTTATCCACAAGTTTGCTAATTTTAGCACCTCGGAAGCTCGCGAGCTCCTAGCGAGTTCATGATTTTGAACTTTCCGTCCGTCCGTCTGTGTACTAAGATAATTCGTGGACGGTTTCGAATTATCCAATTCTGTTTTCAGTATTTTGTTTATCATCACCCAAGGAAGGACTGATTAAATGTTCAGTGACCCAGGAGCTCGTATGCTATATTTGTTCCAAGTATTTTATTTGACATAAACATTATTTCATAACACCCCCATTTGATTAGGGATATTGTTCAAACTATTATCGTTAACACAAAAAATGGCTGTATGTATTAGCAAATTTTTCCATTTCCTCAAATTCAATTTTTTAATATTTGCAACTCTTCTCCTTGGATTTTTCAGTTACCCTACGGGTTCATCGGAATCTTTACAGTGTTCTTGAAATGTTCTCTAATAATCTTCCAATTTTTCTTCCTTTCGCTACTTAGAATACTTCCAATTTTTGGTTTCTTCAACCTCCTCAGATCTACAAAATTTTTACCTTTTACTGTCTTCATTTTCTTCGGAATTTCTTCGATTTTCCATATCCATGACATGAGATTGTTCGGATTGTTTACCTTCATTTAATGCTTCAGTTTTAGATCCGTCATATTCTTCACTTTTTAAAACGTTCCCCATTTATTTCGGTTTTCATTAGATTCTGTGGATTGATCAAATTACTTTCAAATTTCTCAAACCTTTCAAATATTTAAGTTCTTGGTCGAATTTTCTTTCAATGCATTCGATTTTTTTTAGATTCTTGTGATATTTTCCGAATCCTTGCAAATCATCCGATTATGTTCCTTCGGATTCGGTTTATTTAATTTTATTAGGTTTTCGTCGCCTCTTTCACAATATTCCAATTTTTAAGTATACAGTGATATTCATTTTCATTTAGAAGTAGACACAGAGATTTCCTATGTCTACTTTTAAATGACAAAAACTCTTCTGAAAGACGCCTAATTTTATGCAACCGAAATAACATGCACACGCATTTTGCACTGTCATTCTAGATGTTAAATAAAAACGACAGTAAATAGTACGCTTTTAGGTTATGATGAAAAGATATTAAATACGACCGCTATTTTCCATAACTTTCTTATAGGATTCTCTTTCACAAAAATTAAAACATTGAGTCTAGAAATCCAAAAAGGCAATGCCGAATGTATTTTAGGAACTTTACCTTTTTTTTGTAATTCTTTTGACGAAATTTACTATGTTTTAAAACTCCGTTCTTATGTAATTTGTTCCTGTTCTATTAATTTCATTAATCGTTTATTTAAATTTAAAATTGAGAGTTGTTTACAGTATCTTCTGTGGATCGCATTTAAACAACCACCAATTTTAAAGTAATCAACACAGAAAATAAGTTTCTTACGCTTAAACTGTTACCGGCACTATACCAAAGATTGACAATATCAACTTTTTCTTCAGTTGAACACGTCGCACACAAATGAAAAAAAATACGACAGCTAAAGCAATAATATTCCAATTAATTAATATGACAGCAAAATCTTCATTTGCTTTAAGAAGTTATTTTGGTTGCATAAAATTGGTCGTCCTTCAGAAGACATATACTAGACAAAGGGAAAACAATACAAAAATCGCTATGTCTACTTCTAAATTACTATCACCATATAATCTTTGCCCTGGATATATCGGATACTTGGAGTTTTCTGTTTTTAAAGAAATTCTGTTATTTTATTCCTATAATCTATCAGATTTGTTTCTTGGGATTCTCCCGACACTCATTCTTTAGTTTGTGCAAAGCTTCGTAACGGGAGCCGTTAACGGAACTTTTTATTCGAATTAGAAGTTTTTGTATTTTGTCCTGACTTTTTAAATGAGCCTGAGAGCTAAAGGCCCCGATGCGTCGTGGGATATGGCATGATCAGTTTTATATTATCGTGTTAATTTGTGTAGTTTTGGCGATGTCTGATTTTTCATTAAAGGGGCCTTTGTTGATTTTCTTTATTTGGTTGTAAAGAAATTACGTTCAGATAAGAAATATTTGCGTAATATTTAAAAAGTTGATCTCATGTTTTTCTCCAGTTGTAGATAAGAGTTGTGCTTATCGCCAAAGGTTAATTAATTTCGTAAACAGATGTTTGCCGCATGTGCGCCTTTAGATAAGAGAATTTTGTTTATTTTAGCTAAAGAAGAATTTTATAGAGTTTCTTTATAAGTTTCAATTTATTTACTTTTTCCATATTTTTTTACCTCCTTCAATTATATAAAGATTATATTTCAGATTGCAACGTTTACTAAGGTATAATTCATGCTTATGAACTTATAACTACCTAATGATACACAAGCCCCAGTGCCTCCCGTCATAAGTAGCTGCCGCAATGAAATGCGGTTTGCTTAGGCAACATTGCAGAATGGCTTCTAGTGGCAACATACCAAACTACTGTCACCACTACTAAGCTTGGTTTTGTTATCTAAGCAAAAAGTTTGCAACGAATCTATGAATTCCACTTAGCTGTTTTGGTTACGGGTATTTGTTTGAAAAGGCCACTACTTCAGCCTTGTAACGGGAGCCCGTTAA